CTCGATCAAACGCCTGTTTGATGTCTAAAAAGACGGCAGAGCAGTACATCTTTTCTTCAAAGGCTCCAAGGATATGGTGCACAACTCTGTGAACCTGTTCCGGTGTTCCATGCTGTCTCCTGAAGCCAAACTGATGGTTTGGAATGGCCTCCTGGCGTCCCAGATGTGTCAGTACTCGTTCCAGAAATATTCTTTCGAATATTTTGGAGAGTACTGGCAACAGGCTAATTGGTCTGTACGACTCAATTTCTCCCACGGGTTTGCCAGGCTTAGGAATCATCACAATCACGGCGCGCTTCCAGCAGGCTGGAAAGTGCCGGATGCGGAGCATGGCGTTGTACACCATAGTTATGTAGTCTATGGTGGAGTCAGGCAGTGCTCTAAGGACTCTGCCGTTTATTAGATCATATCCAGGGGATTTTTTTGCCTTCACTCTTCTGATGTGTTCAAGAACCTCTTCTTTTGTACATCCAGTTATCTGGTCTTCAGCTGGGAGGGGCGAGAGAACGATGTCTTCTGTTGCTTCGATTTCTGAGGCCTCTGCGGTAATCACCGGCGTGAATTGGTCTTGAAGGTGGTTTGCAAAAGCCTCAGCTTGAGCTTCGTCTCCAATGTGCCAGGAACCAGAAATGCTCCGAATGGGATGACGTCGTATTGGCTGCCGTTTGAGCTTTCTTGTAAATTTCCATAATTGAAACTCTGCGTCAGTGGGCGATTCAGCTCGTACCAGCGCATCGCTGATACACCTCTTTTGAAGCAGGGCGAGAGCAGCTTTAAGATGCCTCGTGGCTTCGTTGTACATGGATTTGGCATCAGGCGTGCGTAATCTTAACCAGCGTCTCCTGGCCCATCTTTTGTGTATTAGTAGGTGTTGGGCCTCCAAGGTGAGGGGGATGTTGTACGGAGACTGTTGTCTTGTTTGGCAAGATGGTGGGGCGGCTTGGTGCGCAGCTTTGACTATTTCTTCCTGCAGTTTGTTTGCTGCGTAGTCCACGTCTTCAGGAGTGTTAAGTTCCATTTCTATGTGCAAAGAGTAATGGAGCTCGCGCCTAAAGACTCCTAAATCTGATCCTGCTGGCAGTAGTTGTTTCCTAATGGGCAAGGGCTGTGGCTGCGCGTGGATTGTGACTATTAGTGGCAGGTGGTCAGAGGATAGGTCCAAGGATTCTTCAATGGTCAATTGCCGGTCACAGATGCCTTTGTAGACAGCGAAGTCGATTGCCGAGGGCCTGTGTCCATTAATTGGGTAACGGGTGGGGGCTCCAGTCGCCAATATGCTGAATTGTAAGTTTTGAATCGCCTCAAATATGACTTCTCCGCGACGATTCGCACTATTGCTTCCCCAAAATGGGTGCCATCCATTCCAGTCGCCGCCGATGAGGGTCTTATTCAACCTTTGGCCTAGAACCTGTTCCATGTGATGATCACACAGACCAGTGTTTGGCGGAAGATAAATTGACGCAACTTCGATCGCTCCAATAGACGTAGGCAGGGTGATGGCTGAGACCTGCATTGTTGCGTTGCAAATTGGCAGTAAAGGTGTATGCGGTATTGTTGCTCGTATGAGGATTGAGGATCCACCAAAGCAGTTTGCTCCTTCACCATGAGCCTGATAGTGTTCGTATCCGAAAATTTGTGTAGTGGGGCACTCATGAGTTTCTGTTATTAACATTATATCTATGTTTTCTTGTGAGAGAAACGCAGCCAGTTCCTGAGTCTTGTTTCTCAGGCCATTGGCGTTCCAGATACCCACACGTAAAGCCATTATTTGTAGGCAAGCTTGGTTATGATGGCCATTAAACTGTTTAGCATGGTTGCTTGTTGGGATTGTACTTCTCGCATCGCTTTGAGCTCGGCATTAATTGCGTCAAACTGACGTTGTTGTTGCTGAAGCATTTCAGTGAACAAAGTGTCACTTGTGGTATTCTTATTTGACGGTCCACCTCTAGCGGCCTGTGCGTAAGAAACACCACTAATAGGCGTTGCAAAGCTCGTGGCTTGGGTAATGCTCCGGGGCCTTGTAATTTCGGAAGCAGTACTCGGACCCGTAGACGGTGTTTGTGTGGGACTCCTTTTTTGTGCTGGGGATTGCAATTTGCGCAACCGCTTGTATACTTGGCAGCCCTTATAGTTGGCTGGGTGCTGTAACTCACAGTGCACACAAGTTGGTGCCTGGTCCTTTTCGCGGGTGCAGTCTTTGGATGCGTGTTTCCCGGCGCAACGCACACATCTGGGAGCTTTGTGGCAGTAGCGTTGTGTGTGTCCAAATTCTTGACAGCGATGGCATTGTGTCAGGTCGTTGTATCTTCTTGGCAGTTCCACTGTGCAGCGTTGCCTGCAGACAACTCGAATGTCCAAAATTTCTTTGTTGTTGGGGGCCTGAGCCACGTCAACAAAAAATATATTTAGCGGTGTTTTGTCCATACGGCTCAGTGGGTTGTGCACATTTGTAATTGTGTGGCCTTTGGTTTCCAATTCCTTTTTAATTAGTGTTGTATCAGTGCTGGAGTGAAGCCCTTTGAACACGACTCTATATGGTTTGTCCTCCTTAAGCTGGTAGCAGTGGAACTCCAATTCCAGCTTAGTAAAGTGGTCTATAACTCTGCGATAGTCCTCACTGCATTGGGTTAATACACCTATGTTATTCTTCTTTGGCTTAATTACGTATGATTTAGCATCAATTACTTTATCTATTATCTGTTGAAGTAGGGCCACAGACTTGATGTTTGGACACCATATGGGGGGCGGACGAGGTTTCGGAGTAGTTTGCTGGTCGGTCAATACTGGGGCTTCTGGAGCTACAGGTGATTCGCTGTAGTCTTCATCTTCTTCTACGAGCAGTGAAAATCGATTTTCTGATATTAATGCTGCATTGCTGGTGCTTGGTTCGTCGAAGATGAGCCTTTTCTTGATGGTTTTTGGTGAATTTGGCTGTTTACGTTTCGTGTTTTTGTTGTTAGTGATGCCTTGCACGGAGGCGATATCTATTTTTGAGTTTATTGGCATGATGGAGGCTTGCCTATTTGCCATCACAACGTTAAGCTGGGCTTGCATTTCTGCATTTACCTTTACAGCTGTAGCGAGGTTATTGACATTAGATGTCATCGCGGATTGTGCTTTTGAGTGCAGGCGCACTCGCGCCAAGCGACGAAATTTCGTAAATTGCAATTAAAGCAATTGAGTTACGCGGAAGCAAGCGATAAGAAAACGCTGCGTGTGCGGTTTTTGTTGCTGTTGCGTTGAAGAATGCACCGCAAAGTTCTATTTTTAGAACTCTGCAGCAGTAGAGCTTAAGCGAAGGCTGTTCGAATTCACGTCTTTACAGGTCGAACGACTGATCGCGATTGGGATTCCTATGTATATTCAAAAGTATTGTTTCTTTTCTTTTTGCACATTTTGTTTTGCTTTTATGCTTCTGGTCGCTCTCAACGTTGTTTGTTGTCCCCTTTATTTGCCCTGCACTACAATTTATCGGGTTTATTAACCGTAAAACTTCATTTACAACCATTACGGTGTACCTTAACACTCGTCTTGATATCAGTCAAATGGGCACTGAACTTTAGTATTCGTATTGATGGGCTGTTTGCTTTAATTTATTTCTTTTTTTCCTTTTATGGATTTACAACTCGCTTTATTCTCTCAGACAAGCGCTACGTACATTTGATTAGATTTCAAAACTTAGGTTTAACAGAATTTAGATTTGTGATTCTATTTTATACCTTGATATTACTTTGATTTGTACTCTAGCTGTTTCTGTCGATTTATAGGAAAGTACTAATATCAACTGAGGGTGAAAGCTCTTAAAATATATAAATAGAAATCCTAAAATGAAATAATATATTATATATATATATATATATATATATATAAACTAAAAACTCTTTAAATCGATCTGCATATATCTTGCAAATGTGGATGCTAATATTTTATTGGCTGTTTATTACGAAAGCTTTCTGATAATGTAATCATAATAAAATTGGGATTCGATTACAATCAAAATTTTAGGGTTCTCTACTTGCAGCTTCACTTGCTTGCTTGCACAACTAATTACACATGGTTGATAATAAATTTTGTGAACTTAAATCAGGTATATATATTTGAAGTTTACCTATGACTCATTTCTTAATGAATTTTCTATACATAAAAGATTTGCTAAGTTGTTCCACTTAATTGCCGTAAGCAAGCGATTAGATATAATGCTATTGAAAACCAGATTTGTTATGAATGATATGATATAATGTATAGATACACTTGACACTAATTACGCTGTTCTCCAAAGAGCTAAGCATGTGTTTCATCTAATCAATGCGAAAAACTAGTTCTAACTATGAGTTTTTGTTTTATATCATTATCAATAGATAGAGCGCCCTTTCTGGATTCTCTGTCTCTCTTTTACTTCAAATGTGGTCAACAAATCACGTCAAAAGCAAAAATACTTATCAGATTGACAGCCATATCGGACTTTGGCCAAAGTCAATGTCTGAGGCCCTGCGATTGGTATACACAGTTGACAAACGTTCGCTGCTTGAAGCTAATTACGTAGACTTAACTTAAATGAATTGTTCAATTAAAGCAGCAACAGCAACACAGAAACAAAAATACAAACAAGCTCATTAAAAGTTTAGGCCATAATTCAGCGCCCACACGCTGAATACTCGCATATGATTAAATATAGTTATTATGGATACAAATTTGATTTTTATTATTAATTATTACTTTTGTTCTTGTTTTTGTTTTTTGTTATTGTTTTACAAGTAGGCGTCATAAATATTTAACATAAATTATACATTTTTTAAGCCAGCAGCAATTTTCGCTGATGTCGTCAGCGCTTGCAGTTTAGATCATATCATATCAAAGTGTGTACGACCCATATATATTGATTGATTTAATCCAAGTGTCTTGCCGTTGCATGAATCCTAAATAATTATATATATTAACAATTTCATTTAACTTTATGAATGTTGATCGATTTTAATATAAACATTTATCATTTCTGCCAGACGAACGCGATGCCATTCAAAAGAAGACGTTCACAAAATGGGTTAACAAACATCTTAAAAAGGTGAGTGCATAGCAGAGCCACAGTTATCATCTAGCATACATGACATATCATCAACATCCGTGCGCTCCACTTAAAGTCCCAATCCAAATTGAGAATTTGTACGAGCAAAAGTTAGGATTTTATCTATTTATGTAAACTTAAAAAAGCATTCTTTTATGCTCTCTCTCTCTCTATCTCAATTACAAGCAGCATTGGAAGTATGCCAAGGTATAGCGTTTATATAAAACATACTTCTGTTCCTATTTTTTTTTTCGTTTTTCTAAATATTCACTTTGAATCTTAACAAACACTCTATTGGATTTTGCAGACTTATACCATGCTCCATGTTTGTGTTACCACAAACGGTATACCCTGTTGCTCACAGTCTGTAAGTTATGCAAAGTTCAAGCAGCATTTCAACGTATATGAATGTTTTGCATATAAAATTATATAATATATGTATCTAGTACTGAGAGATAAATATATTTGATTTTGTTTATTAAAAAAAAAAAACTAAAATTATTTTTTGCTTAAATTTGTAAAGTTTTCTAAATTGCAAATTACCGTCTTTAGATATATTTTTAGAAATGTTGCATATCTTGAGGCGTTGCACACTAAAATTTCAGTTCTTGTTTTGTTCGTTTCTTTATGCTCGTTTGTTGTTTTTTCTTCACTAAATGCACCCGTCCACTAATTATAGACTCCTAAACACCGAATCGTTGTGAACACTCTCTTAACACCTTGCATGCATATTTGTATATACATATATCAATATTTGTATAACCTTCAACTTTTACTTTTCAACTGTCGCTTAACTTGTTTTGTTTACTTTGCTTTCGTGCTTCCACTTCCACAGGCCAATCGACGAGTTGTGGATTTATTTGAGGATTTGCGCGATGGTCACAATTTGCTTTCACTCTTGGAGGTGCTATCTCGCGAAAACCTGGTAAGTAGTTGCAACCAGCTGCGGCCACTCAAGTTGTGTTTCCCAACTGATTTCTATACTCGTTTTTGACAATAGCCACGAGAGAAGGGCAAAATGCGTTTCCACATGCTGCAGAACGCACAAATGGCGTTGGACTTTCTGCGCTTTAAGAATATCAAATTGGTCAACATACGCGCCGAGGATATTGTGGATGGTAATCCCAAGCTGACGCTTGGCTTGATCTGGACTATTATATTGCATTTCCAGGTAATGTACAGTAATCATTACTCGTCCCAAATAATTGAATTAGTTGAATTGGAGCAATTTTTTTTTTTAGATATTTACTGTATATAAAGATATATATACATAGACATATATGTATAGTATTTACACGTCCTTACTCATTAACGTTACGCGCTACAACTGCGGGTATTTTTATTATTTGGCTTTATTGTTGCAACTTTTTCTAGAAAACATTTGCTGAAACTTTCTTCTTACTGTGTTGCAAATAAATAAGCTTAAGGTTCTCACTACTTTCTTTGCTAGTTACTCATGCTATTAAATATAATGAAACATTTTAGTCAGTTACTGCAGATAAGGATTGAATTTATTTTCATCTTAACTGATGCACTCGTTACTTTAAATACTCGTTTCTTTGCCGTACAACTTGCGATGGATCTCATTCTCGTTACTTCATTTTCTAGTTCTAGTTATTGCTATTAGTGCAACCTTCTTCGTTGCAAGGCAAGAGTTCATCTTACATTACTCTCGTTATTCTTCTTTACAATTGTAAAAGCAAAATGGTCTCTCTCTGTATTTGCCTCTACCACTCGCTGCAGTTTAGCAAGCACTGAACTGGTTTATGTTGTTTTTTGTGTATGTGTGTGCGTAAATGGAGCAAGTGTTGGATAACTGTAGGCAGGTCCACGAAATGTTGCCCAACATGGCGACAGTATCAAAGTCAGCGTCAGTGGCGCCCACACGTAGCGATTGGGCGAAGGTGACCCTCAAGCTGGCCGCCCAATTCGTGAGATCGTTAACAAATGTTCACACAACAAATTCGTTTTCATTTGGGCGTTATTCGCTGTATATCTTATAGATTTGTACATGTATATAGAGTTTCTGTTATAGTTTCGTCATCGATTCATTGATTCAACAACTGCAGCTCAGCCCACACACACATAGACGCACATACGCACACACACATGGGTTATTTCAGCTTCGATTTTCGGTTAAATTTTGTGCCTGATCTACTCCTACCCAGCAGCTGCTATTTTTACAGCTCTCCGGCTCTGTTGACTTATTTTGGCGAACGCGGCGCTGCCTTTTAAGGCAGCCAGTTTACCTTCTCTTCATCAGCATCGTCTCAGCGTCTACTGAGCGATTGACTGACACACATAACCAAGTCCAAGTGGCTGCTACAGTTCGTCAACTGTTGTTGTTATTGTCCACAAGGCCGCCACAAATCAGCCACTTGGCCAGGCCACCTACACAGCCAAAAGCGAAATTAAAATTAACTACGCACTCGATCGAATGGAGCGCTGCAAAAGGTTGTCGAGCCCGTTGCGACATCTTTGTGCATAATGAAGCTGTTCAAGAAATAACAAGCATTTTATCTCTAAATTAAAACCTTAAAGCATCAAGTCTGACTCAGTAAATGAATTAATTTAACTATTTTCAAACCAATCAATATTTAAGAAATATTTGTTAGCCCCTCGAGCAGTAGCAAAGATTAATCTGATCCCATTATTAATAGAAAATTATACAACTTTGAATATTTGTCAGATTGCATCATAAGTGCTTTATAAGCTGCTTTATTAGCAGTTAATTTTTTGTTTTCAAAAAGATGTCGACTAGATAAAAACCACATATTTGGCATAACTTGGATTTGCGTAAAGTAAAGCTTTGAGCTGCTTCAAGTGGAATGCGTTTAATGTTGACTTCTTCTTTATTTCTGAATAATTTATTGAAAAAGCTCAATGACTTAAGCTAAAAGGTGAAGAGCTTAAAAATAATTTCATCAAAATTGAAATTCAGCTCAAGTTTAAAACTTCATCGAAGTCGGTGTGAGCAAAACGCTGCTTTACATGCCACTTACACTTGCATTCATAACACTTATCTTTCGTATGTAAAACATTTCTCCAGGCGGTCTGAAAATAAATTCCTTGATGGTTTTCTCATTAGTTATATCAACTCTCAACTTTCGACTTGAAATCGGCTTGGCTCTGGGCACGCCTCTGGGCTGCGCTTAGTCATCGGGCATGTTGCACATTTCCGCACTGCGTACGTCTCCGAAGCTCGAGTCTCAATGTGTGTCAGCAACAACGGCAATGGCAACAACAGCAACAACAACAACAACCAAACTAGATGCAACTTAAAACTCGGGTATTTCGTAATTTGTGACGGCGCATGCCGCATCGAGCTGCGTTCGATGCTCGGCGGCTCGGATTGATCGATGGGGCGCATAAATGCTCAATGATGCTGCCAGTCAGCCGCGGTGGCAGCCACCAGCAGCAACAACAACAACAACGGCCATGAGGCAACAACAGCAACTGTTGCTGCTGATTCAATTGAGGCAAAACGAATTGTAAATCACTTGACAATGTGAAACTCAATCGCGCGTCATTTACTGTTTATGTTATTTATTATTTCTTGCTGTCTCGCATTTAACTTGTGCCCCCTTTGTCTCCTCCTCGTCGCTTGACAATTGTCGTTGGCCAAGGATTTATGTATATTGCGGCCTGCAGTTGCGGGTGTCTCTCAGTCTCTGTATCTGTTGCTGATTCTGTTTCTGTTTGTGAGTCGCTGATGTCATTTAGTCATTCGCAATGCAAATTTGTGAGCGCGACTTAAAAGGATATTTCTGCTTATTATACACAAATGAATGTTATATATGTACCCTACGTAGCCCCAAAAATGGTTAGCCCAAAATATAAAAAAGAAGGGTATAATCAAGCTGTGCCAATTTATTTAAGGGGCTTTCAGTTGGCTTTTTTATGGGCATATATTTCTTCATAGCTCGACGCATTGAGAGATTCTCTAACTGAGCTACTTTAAGACATTTGCCAACTCAATATTTGTTTGATGTATCTTAAATTTCTTTCGCTGGCAATTCACGAATATTTCTCTGTTAACTCTATCATATAGAAGTTGGTTTTTAACTTCATAGCTTGAGCTTACATATGTTTTAGAAGATTATAACCGAAAAATGGTTGAATTAAATAATTATATTTTTTTCTTTGAAACTACTTTAAGTATTTTTATTATTATATTTAATTTAATTTTAATATGAATTATTTCTAATTATCAAAAGTTCTAGTTGTTAGATATTTCTATATATCTATATATTTATATATAGTCTCTTTTGCATATATCTTTCTATCCATTTGGCTAACTTTACATATTTATTTGAGCACGGAAACAATTTAAGAGTTCTAAATTTCACATAAATCTCGCAAAATCAAAAATATTTAAATAAAATATAATTCTTTGCTTTAATAACAAGCTTAAAAAAATCTTTAACTTTGATCTGAATAGAGTTTTTATTATGCCATTTTGCATTTGAAATTGCATTTAGCTCAGACAAACTGCCTTTGGGGCGTTAACTCGAACGAAATCTCGTTTGGAGATCGCGTTTCGGTTGAATTTCAATTATGACATAATGCCTATTTATACGGCAATTGCATAAATATTCGCATTGTTATTTAGTTTTTGCTTTGTGTCTGTCTGTTTGTCTCTCTGGCCGTTTGCATTAAATTCAATTAAATGGCGCATTTTATAGGTCAATGTGCAAAATACAAAATGTTTAATTCAAAGCGAAGCCGATGCCAATAAATTGCCAACAATTTGCCAAGCAAACCCGGCGGCAGTTTGTAACGCTGCTTTGCCTATAATTAAGTTATAAATTGTGCCGTACAGCCAATCACTGTGATCTATGAAACACCCACAAAAGCTCAGAATTTTCCTCAAATGAGCAGTGCCACAGGGAGTATCGGTATATACAAATATACATAAATATTTATATATACGTATATGAGTAGTCAAGATCTGACAGGCCTTCGCCTTGACTTTAAAACATTTGCTGACTTCCGTCAGCTGGAGATACTTAGTTGCTGTTAAGCTGTGTGCGCTCTCAATTGTTTAATTTAAACACAAAAAGGCAGAAAAACAGAAAAATTCATAAGTTTATGACTTAAGCAGGCAAAACTGGTTGGGCATGCGCCACGATAAGTTGCCCTGTTAACAGAATTTATCGAAATTTGAATAATGTTTCTTAAATAATTTATGCATACTTACTTATTAAGATTGTTCTGAAATTTGTATAATTTCTAGGAAACAAAATTAGATAATTTAAAAAGTTTTTTCATAAATATATATATTTATAGTTATGCCGATTTTAATAACTTAAAGATCAATTAAGAGATATAACATATTTTATGAAGTATATACATATATTCGATATAGTTTAGGTTTATATAGGTAGATCCAAAGGCTTCTGCTGGTTCTGGTTGGCATATATTTCATCTGAGTGGTCCTTGAGTCAACGTAGCTTGTTATACCCAACTTACGACTCGTTTACAGAGCATTAAAGAGTGCCGCTGGCTAACTAGCTACACAGCTTAAAAGAAGTCTGTGAAATCTATGTCGAATTACGGCTGACAAACGTTTTCATTATAAGTTTTGCGTCTAATTTTCCAAGCAATTTTTGCACATAATTCAACGCTCGTTTTTGTTTTTTTTTTTGGCTCTGCTTGGGCACAGCTCAGGTGTTTCATTTTTGCTGTATCCGACAGATACAGATGCGCCTGCTATATTTGGGCAGATTACCATAAAAGTGTACACAAAAAATATAAAGAAACAAGCAGTTGATGTTTAGTCAAGGCGCCCATGCGTTAAGTAACAAAAACTTAGCTTTCAATTTCAAAGGCGTTCTCTAAAGAAAGTAGCGCGAACTGCTACTGCTGCTGCTGCTGCTGCTGCTGCTCCTGCTCACGTCATCAGCCTCGTCTACTGTAATTGAAAGCCATTTGGTATTTTGATTTATTATGAGACATGTGCTACAATAAACTCAATGACAACCGATTCAACGCTTCGGCTGGAAAGACATAACACAAAAGAGAATTATCTCTGAGAGCCAACAACAAAAGGCTTAAAGCATGAAATAAAATAAAATGTGTTATTTGTTTACGCCTTGGTCATGACATCAGCTATATAACTACATTGCTGACCCACCGCGTCAGAAGTGTCACGTACTAAGAAACAAAAAC